TATATTCTGTGGATATCTCTGGGATTTCTTGTATTGTCTGGAAGATACCCATTAGATATTTTGCTGGATATCCATAGGATATCTTCTATATTCTGGATATAAACGGACATTTGGATATCCATATTAGATCCACGGGATATTTCTAATATCCTGTGGATATATTGGATATCCACAAAAGATATTCTGTGGATATCTCTGTGATTTGGTGTGTTGTCTGGGTAATATCCATGTGGGTGTAGAAAAAATTAATATTGATAACGTAATAGAGGATACTTTTTTGGATTTGCATCCCAATTGTGCAAATAAATTAAAGGTAAAGCCATTATTTTAAATATAGATTCAAGATATTAAAAGTTGCATGGTGTGACTATTTAATTTAAATGCGACATGGGGGTCTATTCTGTAACAATTCCTTTATATTTAACGGCCTTTAAAAATATTGTCGGCCTTTAAAAATATGTTCGTATTCGTTAATTTACTTCTGTCATTATTTAAACAGATTTCTTTAAGATAGTCCTCTAATGTATTTTAAAGATCCGTTTAAATAATGACAGAAGTAAAGAAGAAAATATTTTTAAAGGCCGTTAAATATAAAGGAATTGTTACAGAATAGACCCCATAGGAATGTATATGGTCCGTTTACATTGGCCTGGCGTATTTCATTTTAGTGGTGCAATAGCGAAAGTTATTTAAATATTTACGGACTGTTTTAAAAACTACTGCAGGTAGAAATTAGTAAATATTATGGGCTCTGAGGGGGGCTATTTTCAAAGTCGAGAGAATTCATTTCTCTCGAGAGAAATGTCATACGTCAACGTAAAACACTATTTTTAGGGTCCTGAGGGCCAGTGTGAACTCACTGATTGTTTCTCACGGTTTATTTAGAGATAATTAGTATCCTCATAAGAATTATAATCCTCGAGGCCTTTAAAAACAGCGTTTCCACATTGACGTATGACATTTCTGATGAGAATCTTGAGAGAAATGAGTGCTCCCATACTTTGAAAATAGCCCCCCAGCTCTCGAGTTAAGTTTCACGGAAATGTACAACCGTTCTCTAAATGTCCCCACTTCAAACCATTGCATTCGACAAAATTGTTTTGGCCGGACTCGGGATATTTGAAAGAATTGTTGAACTTGATATTATTGTAGGGTCTCATTACGATTAGAAGAACACAGCTACGTCATCATTTGGCAACGTAATTAATTGGTGATCGCCGCCTATTGGGGGTTTAGTGGAGTGTTAATATTATATAAATATAGGAAATATTAACAACTTACTTAATTATTGTTTATTGAAAGTTATAGATAATATGCATTCGAAATTCGAATACATATTATCTATAACTATATATAAATAAAAAATAAGTAAGTTGTTAGTTATAATACTATATTTCCTAGATTCCTATAATATTAACCCCAGTACTACATACTTTGCCAAATGATGACGTAGCTGTGTCCTTCTAATTATTGTAATCGGAACCTAGTAGTGTTCATAGAAATAACTATTTTAAATATTGTATGAGGTGGTGTTTGAGATTAAAAACACAGGAAGAAAAAAGGATTGTTTTTTTTAAAGAAAGAATTTAAAAACCAGCTACTTTAGAGATCAAAAAAAATATTTTTTTAAATAAAACACGTAGCTACGATTAAATTAAATACTGATTTTTTATAACAATATTAAATGTATAATGTATTGTTGTTTTTGCATTAAATACAAAACCCAAACAGTTTGTTTAGTTGCGTGACAGAGTACTTAATAACTCTAAGCAACAATAAAAAAATAAAGGTAAGATTCCAATTTTGTCGGACATTATAAATATTTCAAAAAATTTTAAGTTATCCATTTTCTATCCCAGCATGTCATTAAATATTTTCAAGGTACTATTTCTCAAGACGAGACCGACTTCAAAACGCGACAGCGAGAGACCAAAAGCGGTCTCTTCACGTCTGAACACGTAATTATATTGAAACACATTTCGGTAGACGAGACCGACTACAGCAGATTTAGTATGGCAAAATATGCCGCCTTACTGCTGTCTCGGTCTCTTGTCGTTTGTCGCTCGTTCCCAAATGGTACCTTAAGTCTTCTTAATCCAAGGGTCCGCGATTCGAACCCCACCGTGAGCAGGCATTTTTTTTAAATTTATTTCTTTAAAAATAATTCTGATCCGTATGTAGGATTCTCCACTCTAACCATTCACTGTTGGGTTCTAATTGCCAGTTCTGATCCTAAAATGGCGATGGGAAACAGTGACAAGGCCTGTCTGTAGGCGTGTATTAAAGTACTAGCACTCCTGCAATATGCGGAGTATTAGACTACTAGTTATACTACTAGCGATATTAACTTAAAATTTTTAGTAAAAATTAAGCTCTATAAGGGGATAAAGCCTATTGATTCTGAACAAAAATTGAATAAAAATGGGAGGTTAAGGAGGGTCTGTTAAACTGTGAAGAGTATAATATAGAATGCCAAGCATTATATATCTTCATTCTAGTTGGAGTGTTAATGAGCGTACATTGAATTGTATATATTCTAATTTCTTTCTCTTTTGATTTTGATTTTATATAAAAATTACATTGATGCCAAAAATATCTCTCATGCATGAATGTCATAATACGTGCTTGTATGTAGGTGTCTGATGGTATCTGTGTGTCTGTATCCACGATACCTCAAAAATGTATGCAGAGAAAAACAATAAATTTAAAATTTAAGATTTAATCCATCCTCTAATGAGTTGATTAGATTTTGGGCATATACAGAGTCGTTTTTCTACTTTAAGCAATATGTCTGTTATTAACGCTTGAAGAAAAAAATTCGCAAATAAAAGTTGCTAGTGATATAAAATTCAATTAAAAAATAAATGAGAAAAGTATGTAGGTATTTGAATTTTGACCTACCCTGTAGCGACAACAAAGACATTTCGTCATTAATAATTTATTCACAAAATTTTGCAGTTAAGATTGTTTTGAGTAATTGGTGCTTGGTAATTGAATTGTGCAATTACTTTTTTCGGTAATTGGTAATTGCAAGCACTTAAAATTTCCACATTGCTTGATGCTTGTTGCTAGCAATTACTTTTCCAAAGGGCTTGATGCTTGGTGCTTGATGCACTTTTTTCGAGTGCTTTGTCCATCTCTGATTTATAGTCATATAATTTGTAGTCATACATAGGTACATACATTCGGTCTTGATATTAGGCAGGCAGTATAAAAGTAAAGACAAAGAACAAGATCAATATGCCTTTTGAAATCTTGTTTTTGGGAGAATGGTGAGACTCATGGGGAGATGTTACAAACACAGAGGTTCTCAGACGTAGGTAGGTACTGGAATTACAAAAATACTAAAGAGTGTTTATCTCGGTGTTAATCGTAACCTTTATGGAGAGTAGTATAACCTGTATTAAAGATCATCATAGACTCAACATCCGAACAAGGCTCGACTCTCACACTGATTGTCATGAAAAATCGACGTTATTTTTGGCGATAATGCGCTAGTTCAGTGATGATGTAATTATGGTTCCACTAACAATTAAAGTGACAGTAGATTTTTTGAGTGCGTTTTGTTCGTTTTGTTTACCTAAATTATATCGTTTTTTTTTTTACTTTTATAAATATATTCCTAAAGTAAGTAGATAGCATGTATCAAATATACAATCGTTTAGTTACCAATTACATACCTTTAAACTATTTTTTATGACCTGTAAACAATATTTAGAAATAAAATAAAAACAGTAAAAACGTATATGTCAAATTTATTGATGTTTTTGTTAAAAGTTTGGTTAGAATCACGTTAGAATTGAATGTCAGTGGAACCAAAATGACATCACACTGAACTAGCGCATTAGTCCCGAACATTACATCACCAGAGATGTTACGTCAATACGACATATTTTTTTTTCTTCATATATACGTCATAATTTGGTCATACAAAATCATACATTTGCAAAAATAAAAATAAGAGAAAACAAAGAAGAAAAATTTGGGTTATGTTAACTTTAATATGATGATGGTGGTGTGATCGGTGTGTTTTATTGTTATTAGATCATACAAATTGTTATATTTTAGTGATTGCATACATAATGTAAGTAGGTAATACGGTTTTCGGATGATTATGAAGACGGCCTGGCTTTAGTGCACCTCAAATAATACCTGAAGGATTAAATGTAAGTCTGTATAATGCTCTAACAAGTGATGTGAACAACATAAGTAATTGATTTATTTATAAAGAACTTGCTTTTATTAAGTAATTATTTATTCAGTTTCTTTTGTAATTTTATATCCAGTATTCATGGTGTTTAGTTTTAATAATGTTTTATATGTAATTATTTTATAATATAGACTGTTTATTATTATCTGTATGTAATATTATTTCCTATAAGCCCCATAGAGCCGTTTTTAGGTATAGGCAAAACTAACGTCATAGTAACGTTACAAAGTTACGTGAGAGTAACGATACAAAATGGCGTCACTGGGCTGTGACATAATGACGTGAGGTGGGCGTCATTTTGACGTTATATTTTTGGTGATAAATGACGTAACGGATAACGTCGCTGGCTGATGGAGTTTATGCCGGTCGTCTTCTTGTTGTCATCATAGCGTTATTATTTGTTTATGTACGTGAAACTTGCTTCTAAGTTTTATAAAATAATAAATGTAATAAACATAAACTTAACCTCAAATTTCGATCAATACCAATATAATAATATTAGAAACCAACTTCTGTCACAATTAAATTTCGATTTAATTTAACCAATCGGGTAGCCGCGCTCCGATTAGACGCTTGTGAAGATTTAAGGGTGCTAATTACTTATTAAGATTTTGATGATGTTTCTACAGTATTGATATTTTTTACTTCGTGATTACAAAATGTCAACAGTCTGTTATCTAACTAGAAAGATAAGTTTTACATTTCTTGCTCTACAAGTACCTGTTTTTTATAGATAAGATTAAAAATCAATCCTCATATTTATAATTAGGTTGTTATTTATCTAAAAGTGCCTATATGCGCTTGTTATAAAAAAATATTACAAATAATATGCACATTCAGTAGGTGAAGAGTGTTTGCACTTAGTGTACTCGAAACTTTTAAAGGTAACATAATGTCTATATAAAGAGTGACCTACAAAAAATGTTTCTGAAGTAGGCCATGCCCGTCAAAAACAGAGATATGAGCCATGTCCGTGTCAACTACATGCGGCTCTGAATTCAATACAAATTAATTGTTAAAAGAAGACGAATGGATCGCTCCGACATGCGTGAATTTATTATAAGATCTACTTCAGAAAAAAAATTGGTGAATCACTCTATATTTTATTTGAAAAGTGAAACTGTAAATGAATAAGAGAGTTATAGGTTTTTATTAAATATTTTCAGAATATGATTTTACATTTTTCATTCAGGAATTTTATACAATTATTGATGGTGTCTTCCAATATTGATATGAAAAATAAAAATAACTAGTTGATATGTGGTACCATCCACTCTATAGAAAATATATAATTTTTTTTCAAAAAAACAATTATTTCGTAGTTAAGTGTGTACAGCATCTCTAATTAAAAACGCCAATCCATCAAAACGATCAATGGTTAGTATTGGCCTTACGGTCTCTTTAATCTAAGGTATTGGCAGATTACTATTTGAAATCCAGTCATTTAATCAATATAGACAGAACACACAAAAATATTTGACATCAAATACTTAGACCGATTTTAACGAACAAGTGTCACTCAGTGGCGGCTTGTAGTAATTTAAAATGGGGGTTTTTTCTATGAATTTTATCATTTGTAAGTTCGGTTCAAAACTTTGTACAAGCTCCAATATCGCTGTTTTTTGTTTGGGTTTATATTATGTGTAGTTATTATTATCATCATCAATATCATACTATTTTCAAGCACTACAACTATTAATGAATAAATGAATATTTTAGTTATTGTAATATTTGTTTTGTTTTTAATACGTTGAAAACCATCTATTTCATAATCAGTTATAGTTAGCTGACTTCATGTTTTGAGATTATTTTTGAATATATATATATATATATATATATATATATATATATATATATATATATATATATATATATATATATATATATATATATATATATATATATATATTTATTTATAGGCCTTGGTGGCATCCCTCCATGTTAAAATTGCGTCTGCCGTGGCATCCACGTCCTCGTGGCATCCGATATACAGATGCCACGAGGACTTTCGATGAAACTCATCGCAAATGAAAGGATCCTACCCCTACTAACTCTCGGCAAAATATTGGCGAGATGCCAAAACAGCCTATTTTTGTATGTTTTTAAACATGGTAGTTTGAGCAATGACCGCAACTGCCGCCACTTTCGTGTGCTGTATATTCTGAGATATATTTAAAGGAGGTAATGGCATCCAATGATATACATATTCATTTTGAGTACCTGGTGGCCTCTGTATATTCCGTTTTCGGTTTGATGGCATCCATTTCGTTGTTGCCAGATCTTATATTGGTTTATAACTCAGCCTTTTCATTTTTATAGATTCTGTAACATACTTTCACTAGGATGAGGCGCCCTTGCGATTTACTTCCGAGAAAATAACATGTGTTTTTAAAGCTATTTTTATTATATCTTTTGAAATATACTGGTTAAATTAGGTACACTTATTCTGTCACTTTTTAAACTGTAATCTGTGAGGAACAGTTTTGTTTTGTATAAAAATTTGCACAGATTTGTCTGCCAATGTTGATAAAATTAAAACGCTTTTAATCGTATAAGGCATAAGCTAGGAGAAATTAGCGGACAAACTGGACGGCGATGCTTGAAAATTTCAATATTGTTATTCGCTGAAATCTTTGGTTTAGATGGACTTTAGTGTCATGAAAGTTAAAAAATAAATAAAAATTATCATTTTTATTGAAAAATCATTAATTCAGTTTAAAATATTATTTAAAACAAAATATAATTTTTATACCGATTAACCGATTAAACAAAACATTAAGACTAACCAATGATTCAAAATATATATTTTTTTCTTTTAAAGTCAGGTTTTTGCCGCCAAACAATTATGGGAGCAGGGAGGGGAAAACACATTTAGCCCAAGATTATAAATACAATTCTTATACTACCAATTCAGTACACTACTTTCAATTAATTAAATCAAAATCATTAAATAGCAAGATCCAACATATAATTTTTAGGTCTTTAAAGTCATTCGTATCCGCCGATAAATATTATTCCATCAACTTTCCGTTTGAATTAACTTATTACCTGGAACGTTACATAGTAAGTCTGTTTTTTCTGCCTAGGCAATAAAAATATATCTTTTTAAGTCTTTAAAGTGTCAATAAAAAGCCGCTTTGGGTACAAGAAACCAAGTTTTTTTTTAAATATTTGAAAAATTACTAACTTTTAGTATCTATATAAACGACGTGGAATCATTAATTTTCCTACGAATTTCTTTCAGAACTAAACATATTTACATGTTTTCTTTTCGTTACACCTGACAAATAATGAAACACATCAAACTTTTTTTGTGAAAAACAATTATAATTTTTAAAAAAATATACCTTTATCGCGAGATATAGCGGTAAGTTACAAAATTAAACATATTTTATTCCAACGATTTTGTTGAAAAATCTAGAAATTGTTCAGGTAAACAGTTCCCGAGGTAACGCCAAACTTTATTCTCGTGTGTTATTTAAAAAAAAAAAAAATTTTATTCCATTCTATGACTACCAGTTAACACAAACTTTTTCATAATTTTAAATAATTTTTCAAAAAATCAAAGAAGCGACATTATACTTTCCAATTATACAAGGTTCTCCAAGAAAGTGATACATATCAAAGTTTTCCAAAATGGGACACCTTGTATTTCATATATTTGTATTTTCCTTGCCTTTCATATTATAACAATAAAATAGTCTGAGATTATACAGGGTATTTCACACGCTATAACCAGTTTTATATAAAAATCGTACTAATTTCAAAGACGTGTATAGTGCAAAATAAACATTTAAAAACCATTTTTGTGCAGTAAAAGGGTTTTCATTATTAGTCAAAAAATTTTACCGATGTACTACTTCTTTAATTTTAAACAAATCTTTATAGGGTACGTCAATACAAAAAATTTAGTAACTATTTCTATTTGGGACAAATCTATTGAATTCGTTTAATATTATTTTTATTTTAAACAACATTTTAAATAGATAAATGTTAAATTGTCATTTGTTTTATTAGGCAAAAAAGCACAAGATTTAATGTCGTGGCTGGTGTTTCATAGGCGAAGCGTAGCTAAGACTAGGAAACCAGCCAAGGCATTCGGAGAAAATTAGATATAATGCCTTGGCTGGTTCCCTAGTCTCAGCTTGGCTTCCGCTATGAAACACCAGCCACGGCATTCAATATTGTGCTTTTCTGGCTAATAAAACAAATGACATGTATTTATTTAAAATAAGAATAATATTATACGAATTCAATAGATTTGTCCTAAATAGATATAGTTACTAATTAGAAATTAATAAATTGTAATAATATTTTACCAAATATTTACAACATTATTATACTCTTCACACAGTAGTCTGTGAAGAGTATTATATGTTTACTTTTGTCCGTCTGTCTGTCCGTCCGAAGTCACGTTTTTTGTCCACACGATAACTCAAAAACGAAACATGATATTTTCTTGAAATTTATAGAAAAAATCAAACTCTATAAGGGGACAAAGCCTATTGATTTTGAAAAAAATCGGAATAAAAATGAGGGGTTTAAGGGGGGTTGAAACTTAAAAAAAGTATAAATCATTTAGGAAAAATGAAGTTCTATGAGACGACGAGGCCAAATAATTTTTTAAAAATCTGATTAAGAATGGGGGGTTATAGGGGAGTTAAAACTTAAAAAAATCATAATTTAAAAACGAAATATGATATAAATTTGAAATTTTCAGGAAAAATCAAGCTTTATAAGGAAGAAAAAAGACTATTTTTTTTAAAAATAAATCTGATTAAAAAGGGGGGGGTTTAGAGGGGGGTTTAAGGGGGGGGTTTAAAACTTTAAACAAATCATAAATCAAAACGAAACATGATATTTACTTGAAATTTTAAGGGAAAATCAAGTCCTATAAGGGGACAAAGTCTAGTGAATTAAAAAAAATTAATAAAAGTAGGGGTTTAAGCGGGGTTTAAATGTAAAAAAATCATAAATCTAAAACGAAACATGATACCAACTTGAAATTTAAAAAAAATCAAGCTCTATGAGATGACGAAGTCTCTTGATTTTTAAATAGATCCGATTAAAAATGGGGAGATTAGTGGGGGGTTGAAACTTTAAAAAAATCATAAATCAAAAACGAAACATGATATCAACTTTAAATTTTCAGGAAAAATCAAGTCCTATTAGAGGACGAAACCTATTAAATTTTTTAAAAATCTGAATAACAGTAGGGGGTTAAGTTGGGTTAAAATTAAAAAAAAATCATTCATCTAAAAGAAGTATTATATCAACTTGAAATGTTTAATAAAAATCAAGCTCTATAAGGAGATGAAGCCTATTAATTACTAAAAGAAAAAATCTAAATAAAAATTGAGAAGCCTATTTATTCCCAAAAAAAAAAAAAAAATGTTTATAAAAAAAATCGCTAGTTAAGAGGGTCTGTTAAACTGTGAAGAGTATAATATAGAATGCCAAGCATTATATATCCTCATTCTAAATTTAAAATTGCTTTATTGCTCTTTATTTATGTATTCGATACATTTTTTGTCTCGATAAAAACATTTTTACTTTTATTCGCTGAAAAACGTTTTTTTAAAATAAGAACAATAACATATACGAAACCAATAAACACATTTGTCACAAATAGGTAGTTACTAGTTAGTACTTTATAAATTTTAATAATATTTAACCATTTATTTGAAATTTTCTTTTTACATTTTTTTATTAATATTTCTTATGTATTTATTTAAATTGTCGTTTCAATAAAAACATTTTACACATATTTAATAAAAAATAGTTATTAAATTTTTAAGGATATTGTAAAAAAAAATTTCAATCAATAAATTACAGCTAGTAAAATTCTAATCACTAATTAACACACAGTCTATTTCCAGTCAAC